CCCCCCCCCAAAAAAAAAAATCCTAAGCTCCCGCAACAAAAGCATCTCACCCCCAAGATTACACACCAAAAACTCTTCCCCTCCCCCCACCTCTTGAAATCAGCTACATCATCGCTCCCAGGCGAGATTTCGTTGCGTCGCACGGCCTTCCACACGTCTCGCTGCAAGAACTTCCTGCTGCAGTTAATTTGTCCCAAAGAATGTTCTGCCTTTGTTCGGCTACTTTTTGACATGCATTGCTATATACATTGGTCTTTAGCGCAATGAAGAGCTATTTCCAACAGTGATCCAGAAATCATGGTTTCTCGCAGCTGGCAGCAGATCTCCGTGACTTTATTATGGGACAACTGGGAGCACGAAGAAAACATGACTGTCCTTGTACAAGATGCTACAAGGGGAGAACTGAGAAACTCCAACAATAGGGAGTTGAAGTCGTCACATGGCAGTCTTCTGGGGAACAGCAAGCCTCAAAAGCTTCATAGGGCTTTGACCTTACCTATAAGCTTATACTTGAATAGGGCTTTCAGAAGCCTTCTGCAAGCTTTATTCAAATGACTGTTCCACTTGTGTTTGCGGCAGGAGTAAGTCGCAAACGAAGGCTACGAGTGTATTGTCTAAAGCCCACCGACCTGGGGCTACTAGAGGGCTTCAAGAAACAGAGGACTAGATCCGCGTAGTAATTCCACTCTACTCGTTTGGTCACTAAGCCTGTCTGATCCCACTGAGACAGCAACTCAAGAACAACAGTGCTTACAAGTATCAAGTCGTCGCGGCTCACGCACCAGCGATGCGGTGGTACTGGATCAAGATCAGGTGAGAGGTGGCTCCCCCTGTGTTGTTTCATGGGCCGGAGGGTCCCACACAAAACCGTACAAAAGAAGCAACCAACAAGGACTGCTTAGAAGCCCCTCTCAGAGGTCACATGCTGAGGCACTTTTCAAACCCGAAGCAATGCACTTGTGCCCAAACCCTGGAACATAAAGCTTGTACACAGGGGCCTATATAAAAATGAGCTCCGTATACGAATGTGGTCTAAGTGTCAGACAACTCAGACAGACCGCCTCAAAGAAAAGTTTGCAAGTATTCAGGCCTGTGTACGTGGCGTCTTTGGGAAAGGCTCGCAGTTCGCACTACACCAAAAGTGAAAACTAACAGAAGCCCGAAAACAAATGGCTGAATAAGGAGCGCATGGCCGGAATAGCCCGTTGTTCTTTCAAAGGGTTAAGCACTGCAACAAAACAAGCTGACCGACTGGCCAAGGCTCATGCGGGTTTGGCTGAGGATTGCCGAATACCTGGATGGAGATGACCAACATATTCTGTCTAGATTCTTTGTCAGGCTTCCTGGGAACAACTTTTTGCTTCGTACAAGAAACTAAGATAGGGCCTCTGCAAGCAACACCTAGTTGCGGTGAATGAGAACGGCAAGGCAATCCTACACCTGAACATCCACTGCTATGGGCCAGCACTTCTCGATGTTGCCATGACATCTTGATGCTTTTATTTCAGCCTCACAGGTCTCCCGCACGCCGATCCCTCTCTGCAATCCTCTCGCAAAACCCTAAACATTATTAACCTGAGGACGGATTAGTTTGTGGCCGGTGTTGCCACTGTAAGTACTAGTACGATTGCACTTGCAAACGCGATTCCTCTGACTACTATTGTTTTCACTATTCAACCCTTGGAGACCCTGTACAATCCTAGCTTCCGTGCAATGTTCCATGCTCTTGTCTGCTTGATTCTCCATTCCTGGAACGCCAAACCTGAAACCCCAAATCTTTATCCCTAAGCCACATAAATACACCACGCATCCACACTTTCCCCCCCCCCTCCCAAGAAAAAACTGAATAGGCTCACCGGGCTAAACCCTTAACACAATATCCCCGCTACTTTATATCCCTCACATTCCCTTTAAAGGGTCCCCCAATGATCCAAGAGCTCCCAAACCCCCAAATCCTAACAATCCTGAACCTGCCCAAGGACATCGACTCAACATCGGAGTCGGAGCTGTTCGCATCGCAGCATGGGGCGATGGATGTGGCCATTGGCAACCCTAAACCCTACACCCTATATATTAGGGTTTAGGGTTTAGGGTTACTGAAGGGGCACCAAGGTTTTGAGCTTAGGCTTTTGGGGCTTAGTTTGTTGCTGCACGGGGTTGGTTCTAACCTTAGATCCCCAACCCGCAGCCCTCCACCTTGTTCCCTTGAATCAATGGACGCCATTAAACAGCTTTTTGCACTCGGATATCGAACACAACCCCACCTAAATAGCGAATTCTCGGGAATCCTTTGGGGCTCTATGTACTATGCAGCTGCCTGGCCATTGCCGGAGCTTCCGAATATCCGGGTATCCCCTTGTCGGGGCAATTGCGAGAAATCATCAAGGTAGGTGCGCAGTTATCTTTACACAACTAGAGTGACTTGTTTGAAAAGTCGGGATCTTCACGGAACACTTCACAAATACTGGACTTGAGGGTGTTCAGAGAAAGTATATGTAAGAGTGCCTTTAGCGGCCCTACTGATATGCAGGGACCTGCGGGGCATTAGAGGGGCAGCTCCCATAAAGGTCAGGCCCTGAAACATGGAAAAATCTTTGAGCACAACAAGGCATGATGCTGGCGCCATATTCCACGCCCCCATTGGAAACACAAAGTCATAAGGCCACAAATATCTACCCCAGAAGCAAGCCCCACAACCAAATTTGAGCAAAACATGACTCGTCCTCACAAGTCCATGATCTGCTGGCCTTGCTTGTGGACATGAAGCATATATAGACTCTGCAAGTAGAAGCTCTAAGTAAGTGCTACGTGTAGCTACTTGGCAAGATGAGTCAGGAGGCTGTGCGTGAAAGACTCCAGTGACTCTCTTGTGGAAGCGCTTTCGGGCGCTTGTTTGGAATCTCCTGACACACCCCCAAGCCCTCTACCCCTGAAACTCCAACATGTGAATGTTAAGCCGAACCAACCCTGCTCGAATGATGACTCCGGGCCGCTGAAACTTACTTGCTACATAGTTCCTTTCTGGTGGCGGATTATGTTTTAAAGGCAGCTACATCGGAGGTTCTGGGTAGACGATAAGACCCTGCACCCATGTCCGCAAACCCAGATTCTGCCATAGCAAAACCATTCTCCAAAAACTGAGGGGAAACCTTTGCCGAAAATCCCCGAATGCTGATTGCCTGCGAAGTTTGATGTATCCCGAGATATACGGATTGCTGAGATCGGGGGTGCACAGTTTGCTGGTGATCCCTATTAGCCCTGATCCCCCAAAGCGCTTGCATCCCTAAATGCTAGCACCAACCCCTAGCCTGCACGCCCTGAACTGTAGATCCCACTCATGATGGTTTCCAAAGCAACCTCTGTACTCAAAGGGGAGCCCCCCCCCCACACATGCTTCCCGGCGGCTCTTCTCGCCAATGCAGCGCTCCCACATGCGGTCATAGCTCTTCACACCTGCTTAGCGTACCCTGAACCCTTAAACCGCGCAGTTTTGATCGAAGTCCCAAGGTTCTGTTGGGCAGGATTTATGGTGTCACCTTCTCTGGGAACTCGTCAAACGTAAGACTCTGGTCGTATGGCCCTGTTGGGCAATTGTAACCGCAGGCTTTTAGGGCAAGCAGACAGAAGCTTCACCAGGGATTTGTCGGGCATTGGGTGCCTTGTGGTTTAAGGACCCAGGCTCCATGTTCAAGGTTGGTTCAATCAACCCTACGGAACTCACATTAACAACTCGGACCGTGCAACACACGTGCCGCAATGATGGCAATTGTGCCGTGCTGTGGCTGCCGTGCATATTGAGGGGGACTGCTCAACGCAGCTCCAGCTAGTTCTCCGAAGCATGGCAAGATGTCTGCTGAACAGCTTTGCAAGAAGTGCCTATATGGGAGTTCCCCAGCACGTCCGCTACATAAGACCTTCATCATATGGACCCCGCA